CGACTTCTTAACCTTCGAACAAAGACCATTCTGGAGCCCTGGCCCAAAGCTTACGGATGTCTCAGTGTGGTTAGCGTTTGAGACGAAAGCAACCGTTAGCCAAAACAAAAAGTGAAATGATCTCGAAAATGCGTTGCAAAAAGCTGGGATTAATATGACCCTAGTTGCGTGCCACCGTCAATGCCATCCGTCGTCGTTTCTGGGGTTGGTGAAAGCAGAAAGCAACAGATCGTAGTTTCAATGTACTATTTTGATAAGAGATCAGTGATAAACACCTTTCTGAGATTGGTTTGCTTTATTAGCTTTCTATTCGTTTTCGGGATGTGATGTCTGTGCAATCATTATTTTTTCCCACCCTGTTTGCTTCAAGGTTATTTCTTTCTGAACGGTACTGTATATTGCATGGTTTAGATGGGAAAAATGTCACCGAATGAATCAAACGGCAGTAGATTGCTGCGATAACATCAACATGAAGATAATTTCAAGGCTTTGACGAGAAGATCCCGTAAAATTCAAAACTTTCGCCTCCCACAAAGTTCAAACCCCAGTTTCTCGAACGTGAGGCGCCTCTCCTACCATTGCTCCGACCCACCTGTGGAAACCCTGGTGAATCCATATAATCTGTGTTCGCTCATGTCAAGAATCGCCTAAAATCGCCCTCAAAGCTTCACTCAGAAAGTCCTTCGGCAAATTTGGAAAGCAGATTTGAGATCAGCATCCGAAAATAAGTCTAGCAGTATAAGTCCCTCATCAAACCGTCACTTCGACCTGGCATCTTTACCTGTTAACTAAGAACCTCAACGAGTTATTCACCAGCACCGACCGGTACATCTTTAGAGGCCATAGGGCAATTGATACTACCTGGTCGCCCAAGCCCCATGAATAGGTAGTGCGCCTTGAGCATCAATTCTCATTATCAAATCTTCAGTGGAGCCTGAATAGTTTGCTTGCACCAATATTGTCCTCTGAAGCCAAAATCGTTCACTTGACGTTGAAGTCAAGCGCATAATTTTCTCTTCTGAGCATGAAAAGCAGAGTAACAGATAGTTATACTCCAAGAAAGGCCACACACATTCTCCATTTGCGGGAATGCGGATCCGAGGCGACTATAGCGGGGTCTGGGCTCAAGCACGTCTCGAGGTAATGAGAACGACAATATTGTGATGACCGGCTGGAGCCACGCGTTAGGACCGTTTTTGCAACGATACAATAAGGGAGCATCACGGAGTAGCCCCTATCCTACTTATATAATCGGCTAAGTGTGTCTGTTGGTGTGTTTGTGTGTTTGTGTGCGTGTGTATGTGTGTGTCTCTGACCGAAAATTCATAACTTCGGTCCCCGTGGGCCGAAAGCGTTCAAATTTGGTAGGAGTACAGGCAGCAGGGTGGGAACACTTTCAGTGGGTGGCAGGACCAGACCCCGCCCAAAGGGGGCGGGGTTTGTGAGGAATAAATGTTTGAGCGAAAATTCGGAACTCATGTCCCCGTGATCGTAGAGCACTCAAACTCGGTAGGAGTACAGGCAGCAGGGCAGGGTGGGAACACTTATGGTAGGTGGCAGGGTCAGACTCCGCCCACAATGGGCGGGGTTTGTGCAAAAACTCACAACTCCTGTCTCCGTGATCCCACAACGTTCAAATTTGGTAGGAGTTATGGGAACAGGATGGGAACACTCACTGTAGGTGGCGGGACTGGACCCCGCCCACAGGGGCGGGGTTCTCGCGAAGATTGACAATTTAGCCACAGGGCATTCAAAGTATTTCAATTGCACGAAAACTTCACGGAGGTACGCTTCCCTAGCCGAAATGTCCTTTTTTCTCAGAATAATCGCCTTTGTGATATTATACAATGTTCATACCGGACACAGCGAAGACAGCTAACAGAAAAAATCGCTCCCAATTCGGAGCTCATCCTGAGAGCTTTCAAAGAAAAATGAGAATCCGAAGAGTTATTTTCGCATAGCAAATTTCTTACAGGAAGGAGAACCGCCCGGCGAAGCCGGGCGACACCATAAGAAGGAGGGAAGCCCGGCGTTAGCCGGGCTGCCCGACTGGTTGCTGATATATTGCGCGAAGCTCGTTTTTGGTGGTACGGGCATGTCTTACGCGCGGGGAAACTGGGTCTGAAAGTCGGCCTCAAAGAGAAGAAGAAGATAACTCGCATCACAGAATCACAAAGACAAAAAAAGAAGTGCGTTATTAAGTCTCTGGTTCTGTGGATTTCCTCTCAGCAACATAACACAAATGCGTGAAGATAGCCTTGAACGGCGTCTGTCAAAACCTCAAACACTATCAACATGTCACCTCACATTGGAACGGCAAATGATGTTAAGCCATTTCGCGGCTTGTCTGAAATAATCTACACTGTGCTAACTTTGTCAATATGTTTATTATAAATGGGAGAAGAATAAAAATCAAACTATTTTGGCTATCCGAAGGAACGACGGCCTTAATCTCGGGAGCGATACTTTCAAACTGCTATGCTGCTGTTCCGTCAAGGCACAACTAATCAGGTGAAATGAAGCTACGCAGATTATTGAATGATCTTTGCTCCTGGAATGAAGTTTTCCCTATGCTAAAGATCATTGAACAACTAGGAACGACTTGGTGCAAATGAAACATCACCTTCTAGACTGGTTGATTATCTCCCTTGTCTAAACCAGAATCGTGTTCGATGTCCGAATTGCCGAATTTATTATGGTGTACGTCTTCAAAGAAAAATCTTATTTGAGGCTGGCACAGTTGTCCTTGTGTAATATTGGGACGATACAAGCACTTTCTCAGTCTCGCTACTATACAGGGTGGCTGAAAGCATAGGACGCGACTTTTGGCTATCGCTGACATCCTGTCAAGGGTATTTTCAAAAACTTTCTAGACTTTAGAGAGCGCGAGAGTGTGCAAGAAACCTTATAAGTCATTCGATTGACCATCCGCCTAGATAATTGTCGTGAAAGTCTCTGGGCATCGATCCACCATCGAGGAGTTGCTCACAGGCTTTAGGAAATGCAACATAGCGAAACGATTAGTCGTTTCGTCTCTAATTGTTCGAAATGTCTCTGCTGCTGTCAGGGCTCTGGGGCAAGCCTCTGAGATGCCAAAAAGTGGGCGATCAAGATTAGTGAACACATCTAGAATTCGTGCCATAACTAGGAAGAGGATCACCCGCAACGATGGCGTCAGCATGAATCGGATTGCTTCTGATCTCAACATCAGCCGTCAAACCGTTCAGAAGATTGTCATATGCTACCTCAAGCTGAATTCCTATTGGCTCTGTTGAAAACATTTCTCACAAGCTCTGGACTGGTGAGAAAGATTCACGGAAGAACACTGTCTAGGTCATTCGAACCAGACACAGTTGTTGTTAAAAGCCAATAGCAGGTCACCAAAACATCGTCTTGTGCAAAGCAGACTATCTTCCAAAAGTGTGATGGTTTGAGCCTGGTGACATCAGAGACAGAAGTTCACTGGTCTTCATCGACAGAATTGTGAAAAGCAGCTCCGCGGTCTACCAGAGGTAGCTTCAGAGGTCATGCTGTTACCCTGGGTCACTGAACACCTTGGTTACCGCTCGTCTCTTCTTCAACAAATTGGGCCCCTTCTCATTTCTCAAAGTTGACGAAAGTGGTACTGACGCGCACTCCTCGGGTAAAGACAATGATATTTATTTATTTATTTATTTATTTATTTATTTATTTATTTATTTGGTGCACGCACAGGTGCGCTAACTACAATTCCAAGATCACATTAACTCAACAACCTGCACTCAATTAAGACAAAATAAGGGGTTCAGAACAAAAGGTAGAAAGATCTCCAGTCAGGTGCAATAAAAAAAGATTGAAAGGAAAGTAGGCACTACGGGAAGGTCAGATAGGTACTACGAGCTGTATGCTGTATGATAGTTGAAGAGCATCCACATTTGATTTCATTAGAATTCATTAGGCGGATGGCGCTAGGGATAACGCCACTCCCAGACAAACACTAGCATACCTTTGGAATCGGAGACCGAATTTTCGGATGTTAGGTATTCCATACCCCTAACAATTCAGCTTCCGACCCGCCATTACGATCATCACAGCTTTAGAAGAATCATCCTATTGTGAGATGAGAAAAGGTAGTGAAATAAGAAAGTCGAGTTCTAGTGCAGAGGACTGATGACTAATTTGATATCTAACTTTCCTCTTGATGAGACCTCAATCCAGTTGACCTGTGGGGGTATTTCGAGAGCAAGGCGCAGGTCGCTTCTACAGTTCGTTGGGCGCTCTGAAGTTGGCGCTTCACAAGGCATGGGACGATATCGACGACAACTACTTGCTGTCCACTGCTTATTCAGTCATCCAGGAGGCCTGTGTAAGAGCAAAAGGACAGAACTTCGAAAAACTCCTGTCCAAGTTATAATTAAGCTCTATTCTACTTTTCAATTGAATTGATTCTCCCTATTCTTCATCTTTGAATTCATGCCCACAAGTGTGGCGTCCTATACTTTTTATCTACCCTGTACATCTCTGCGTAGCTTAGGGAAAGAAAGATTCCCAAAATGGACATGCTGCCAGCTTTAGATTAGATTAGTTGGTGATGATGTTTACCGTCGCTTCAGATTTCACCGATAAATGTTCTTGTGATCCCTGGTGATTCATACAAATCCATACGTCGAATTTGCGTATGGAATGCGAATGATCGCATTGAGCATCTGTGCAAACAAGTCTCTATGATATAGTAAAATACTGGCAGTGTTGCGAGCTCTTTTCAGCGTTTGCCTTCCCGCTTGGTTTCCTCTACTCGCAGCTGTAATTTCTGACACAATGCGATCCATATTTTTTTCGCTATTAAAAATCTGATTCCTACTCTCTTGGTGCTCTGCTGAGGAATCTCACACACGAGAAATGGTCAAGCCTCATGAGGATTTCCCCACGGAGGTCCAAATTAAGTTGATGAACAGGGAATGGATCGATACTCGTATTGATCTCTAGCACATATAGCACAAGAAAGATATTGTGGTTTCAGAATGTGGTTGTTTCTGCCACTCCTAATCACTGGTCAGGCGCTTTCGTATCCTGCTCCTCCTTTATTGGATCAGGTTTGTTTTTNTTTTTAGAACAGAAATCAGATTTGAACAAAGATGGTATCGGTTCCACTATTGCTCGAATTTCATAAATTCCTTTAAGATTCAGAACATCAATACCATAAGAGGAATCAATGAGAATTTTTTGAACAAACTCTCCATGGAAGCTGCGTGGGCCTATGGCCAAATTATCGGAGTAAGCTTTCGCAAATTTTCTGCTCGAATGTTATTCTACTTCGCTCACATGGTCGCCCACCATTCCGAGCAAGCGTAGCTGTCAAACTGCACGTAACAAACTCAAACTTAGACATTGCAAAAGTGTTAAAGTGTATGTCATTAGGCTCGGGGAATGTTAACGTGGTAAAAGTGCAGAAGCTTCTTTTTAGCAGAAAGCAACAGTTTGAAAAGTTCCGTGTTTGCCTCATATAACAATTGCCCCCAAAGCTCAATTCACGCAAATTTCAATCAATTTCAAGCAATTCTTGCACACTCTCATTTATACGGAATAGTGATCTAAAATGGCCTTATGTCTCCCAGTTTTAATACATTCCTGCATTTTCTTGGTTGCCTGTATGAGATTCATCCTTAAGCGGTGCGCAACAATATCTTCGCCATATTCCATTAGAACTATAGCTATTTACATCTTTGTAACCCTCAAATTGCTATCTTCTCAAAGGCACAGTTCACAATAATTTTGAGGTGACTCTTTTTATCTAAAAAGCGGGAGTATTGGTTGGAAGTAGTTCATCAGTAGTGAAAAAAACGAGAAAATTCGACAATTTCGAGGACCTCAAGGCTTCCAAAAGGTAGGGAAATGAAAGTTGGACGAGATTACCATGACGGGAACAACGTGGAAGGGGTATTCGGACGAGATTTCATTCACTGCAATTGCATAAAGAGCTGATTACATGGAGCCAGAACTGTACAGAATTGCCTTCCACTGTCGCTATTGGTCAGATAAGTTGTTTGAACCTCCTACATGGCTTCCCTTGTGAACGGCGCAGCCTCTGGAATGCCGGTGAAACTTGTCCGAAAGTTCACACGATACAATCTTTGGACGTTTATAACGCCCTAACTGGGCCATTTTCCGACCTGATAACGTCAGATATGATATAAGAGAGGCCCTCGAATTCATACTACAGGGAAATCCCAGAAACCATTTTTATCGTGAACTTTGCCTTTGAGTTAAATCGCGGCTATTCACACAAACTTATTACTGTGATACTATGCAAAGGCCGATGCTAAGCGTCATCTATTCAGAACATTCAGGGCAGTGTTAGTACATGTATAAATGTTCTCTGACGTGGTTCCCTAGATGAAGAAGCTTTGATGATGAATATCATCAAGGGAGCTACGTCGAACATTCAACCTTATAAGCCCTTTGCAAAATACTCATTCGGCTTTTTCGTGCTGATAGTAGACGAAACATAACAAGTTACCGAATCCAGTAGGTTATCGGAAACAATAACGAAGTCTGCTCGCCCGAGGAAAAGGAGACAGTGGTGATCACGCTCGCACTTTTGTAAACTTATTGTTTACAATGTGCCTCATTTCGACCTCCATATCTTCTTAGAGGAGAAGGAGAAATAACTTACAAGCATAGCTTTCACTTTTAGCGGGCCGTTTGCTACGGCATAGTTTATGGAATATGTCATTAGGCTACTTCTTCGCTTACTGATAATCAGGGCCACATAACGGGGCAAACACCAGCGATCAGGTTGGTCATGAAATTCCAGCGAAGCATTGAGTCGTGAGTGTAGTCTGGCATCACTAACATCTTTTATGTCGTTTATTTATCTGCCCAGACCTACATAAGATACACCGGAAAGCCTGAGATTATATCTTCAGAACAAGCTATCATAGAGACACCTTGCGGAACTTGACGGGCCAATTCAGTGGCATATTTGACATTGGACGGACTAAACATAAGTTCTGAACAGACTCATCGCGAGAGCAATGACTTAGAAACGGGAATCTTGGTTAATCGTGTCTGTATAGGACTCTTCAGGGCGGGGAGTGGGATAGCGATTGGCTTCGGAAAAAAGTACCAAACATTCAATCGAGGCAAAAGAAGTCAAGTGATTGAATTTTTGCTGAAACTCGGTCTTCTTTGGGGAAACTTGGTTCCCTTCAAATGCACCATCGCCAAATAAGCTTTTTCAGAATACGTCACAGTCACTCAATAGTATCAGAACGGCTCTAACAGATTGGTCCAAACAATATGGAATTCAGGTGAGAACGAGTATCGCCTTCCACCTCTTCTAAAGAATTTATTATACTTTCAGAAGGAGTACCAACTGTTTGCTGATGAAATCGAAAAGGAAAACGAAAACTTTAAGAAATCCGTCAAGGATCTGATGCCAAAGCTTACGAAGTATTTTGACGACTACATGAAGGTTGTGAACGATAAGGTAAGGTTGATTTTCGATAGGCAAAGAAGGTTTGAAAAATAATGTCGGATTGTTTGCTCAGTAGTAAACAAGGCTGTAGATCAGCAGAGTCACAGCCTAGATCACAAAACAATAATGTAGCTTACGCTTTTGTTGATGAAAACAATTATAAGCTCTCGGGCATAAGATGGAATTCTCCTTTTGAACAGGCGCACCGTCTTTTAATCGCACCATTGAAAGCTATGTATAGTTGAAAGTGCCGTAAAACAATTTTGTACAATGCCCACCTTTTCAGAAGCAGTCAGTGGCGAGTGCCTTCAATAGAACAGCTGATTTAGCCAAACAGCTCGATGACAAACAAAAAGCAATTGCCGAATACATAATGAGGGTTTATCTCCCATCTCTGGCAGACGTACCCGGTAAGTGATCATACGTTACTAGTTAATCCGAATTTCTTTGAATTTATGTTAAATTCAAAATCACTCAGGAATCAACGACAACAGCGGTGGAGGATTTCCAGGCAGCAATTCCGGTTTCCCTGGCAATCGCGGTGTATTTCCGGGTGGAAATACAGGATACCCGTGGGGCAACAGTGGAGGACTTGGTGGATTTGCAGGAGGAAGTAGTGGAATCCCAGGCGGTGTAGGTTCGTCATGGGGAAACGATTTATATCCAAGGAACAATAATGGCTATCCAGGTGGCAATGTAGGATTTTCGGGCACAAGTGGTATGCTACCGGGTAGTAACGAAGGATCCGGGAGATTTTCAGGAAGCAGGCCAGGATTTCCTGCTAACAATATAGGAGCCTTGGAAAGAAATGGTCCGTTCTCTAGCAGTACCGGCGATTTGCAACGTCGAAATGATGGGTTCCAAGGCGGTCGTGGTGGACTATTCGGAGGCAATGATATTCTTCTAAAAAATGATGGCAGCTTTCCAAGAACTTATGGATCTGTTAACAGTAACGGTGCTTCCTTTGGCATCCCCACCACACAGCAATTTGGCTATAACGAAGGGATCCCTCGAGCTCAAGTGGGAGACCACGGTTTAAGCGGTGCCCTTTCTGGAAATAACGGTTTCCTAGGAGATCGGTCCACATACATCGCAGATGGAAACCCAGTTTCTGGGAAACGTTATGGAGAATTAAGCAACAGTGGTGCCCAAAGTGGACTGAATCCGAAGAAGCCTATGTTCGGTCAAGTGAACAGCTTCCGACAGTGGTAATCCACCCAACTGTGAAATGATAGCTAAGTTCCTCAACCGAATGTCTTCTAGCAATAAAGCAAGTAAATAGCCACATTAAAGATTCTCAGTAGATACAACTCTTTTATCAAACTGATACTAATGATGTTTCTTAACGCGGCAAGTATACTAGATGTAACACAGGACATTGTTTAGTTATAAATTACCAATGACTATTCAATACTATCAATCTATCACTTTGTTAATCATCGTGCAGACTGTCTTATGGTTCACAATAGAGTGACCTGTACGATTAACATAGAACGAAAGTTTTCCATACATACCGCTTCTTCGCATTCTAAAAGATCCACTTTCCTCATCAAAAGGTGCAGCACCGGTAATGCGTTGTTTCGCGATATCGGAATGCATGTCTTTTGCACATTTGTTTCGAGAAAGCTCCTATAAGTTCTCTGAACAGACAGAGGGAATAGATGCGAAGTGAAGATAGGAAAATATCTATTTTTTATCCCGAAAGCAGGTCTTCCTGTTGAGACTTCATTCTTGGACTTGTTTTTTCTTAACCAAAAAATGAGATTTGTAAATTTTTTGACTTCCCTTCCACTTTCTCGCACTGTACCAGCAGCTGACTTTTGAGTGTTTCTTGGAATTGCTTACTTGTTGAGCTCCAATTATACTCGATCCGTGAGCTCAAGGGTTATTACATGCGCAAGCAACAAAGTATTCTGTTCCTTAATGGCACAGTTCACGATAATTTTGATGTACCCGTTTTTGTTCAAAAAGCGGATGTATAGGTTGGTATTAGTTCATCGGTAGTGGAGAGAGCGAGAGAATTCGTCGATTTCGAGAAAATATGGCTCTTTAAAAGTAAGGAAAATAGAGGTTGGAAGAGATTACCATGACGGAAAAAACGTAGAAGGGGTATTCGGACGAGATTTCACTTGCCGCAATTGCGCAGAGAGTTGACTACATCAAGATAGAGCTGTACAGAACTCTTACTCTCGCTATGGGTCGTGACAAGTTGTTCGAACTTCCTTCATGGGTTCCCTTGTGATCGGCGCAGACTCTACAGTGCCGGAGAAGTTCGTCCGAGGGTACACACGGGCCAAACTTTGAGCCATTGTAACTTCCTATCAGAGCCGTTTCCCGAAGTAAGAGTGTCAGATATAGTGTGCGAGGGACCTTGAATTCATCCTATGGGGAAATCTCAGAAACCACTTTTATAGTGAATGATACCTTTAAATGAAGCGCATTGTAGATGGGATAAGGCACCCCTTCGAATGCAAAACATCTAAGCTCCTTGATTTCATCGCAAACATCACCACCGAGAACGATTCGGCTTGTTCGCTCCTCGTCACGGGTCGTCCCAGACGGCACAAACACACATACACAGCGTGTTGCACAAACAACATGACTCATTAGTTCCAGTTGTGTCCATTCACTTCACCCAAAAATGTTACCCTAGTTTAAATACAAGATGAGAAAACCTCTTTTTCCAATAGATTTAGGATAGAGTTGAATAAGGAGTGGCACGACACCGACAAGGACTGGATTCAACTAAAGATTGAAAAAATTTTAAAAATTGAAGTCAATGCAAATCTAAAGTTTGACAGAACTACCATTCTGTTGAATAACACCAAGTCGAAGGTGAATAACTTGCTGAGCGAAGACATTTCTAACTCTTTCTATCTCTCCCTTTTGATACATAGGTCAAGACAAGTCGACACATGCAACTTACTGTATAGTATAAATACGCCTACTTCAAATGCAAAGTAAAAAATTCTAGCACTCCTAACAACTTTGGTTGTACATTCGAGTTTGTAAAAAGAAAAAGGCAAACAACTCATCAACAGACCTCTCTTCGCAGTGATTATGACTTATAATGATTGTTTACCTATTATACCCCGTCCGGTATTTTTTCTATACAGAAAAAAAAACAGAAAATACTCATGCAAGTGGATACAACGCTTTCTGAAGCATGTAACTTTATTATTGATAGTCTGCCGTGCGTTGATTGCATCGGTGCCAACACTTAATTTTTGTGAACAGTATCACTGATGCCCAGCAAATTGGCTTAATTCTATTAAAGACTATCGATAGAGGTGGCCAGAAGGTGAACACCGAAAAAAAAACTTATCCTTAGCAGTCAATTTTCTTCATCATTACCGAGAAAATGCTTGCTGTGAATAGTATAAATCGATCCGACAACAGAATCTTCCCAATCGGAAGAGTGGAATTTATCGGAGAGCCTGACCTCTTGATACGACATCCAACACAATCGTCCGATTCACTCGCGGACATCTCGCATGAATCGCTCTTGACAATCTATTTTACAATTTACCTACGAGTAGGAAAATGTTATCCCTTTGCTTACACGCTCTCTGGCTAACTTCCTTCAAAGATTTGCTAGAACCTCTCGTACTCTGTTCATAGAGCTATCCTTCCTGTGAATCGTTTTGTGAATAAAAAAACGATGGTCATCACACGACGAACTGGAATTTGACTGGTAAAGATGACTACTGGAGGCAAGGACCGAATAAATTATACAAATGAGTTTCTGATCACAGCTGCTGCAACTACATGGCTACCATTGTGCAATTGCTGAAATTCGGTTTGCGCCTGACCACTTGGACACTTGGAAATTTTCTGTCCCGCAGTTTGTCTCGAATTAGGAAGAAAAATATAATAGTTGACACGCACAGCTGAACACGGCTTTCGCGAGCTGATTCCAGAGAACAACAGTGAAAAGTGTAAAGTAATGTCGACATGCTAATGAATATTGAAAAATGCCTACAGAATTGACCAGCCTTCGAACCTCCACTGACAGTCCATGCAGTATAAAGTGAGACTAAGCATTGTGCATAGAGACACTTGTCGTAGATGGAAACCACAATAAGATTGCTACACTGTATTTCAGAAGTTGGGAGTGGTGCTAAAAGCGCCTTCTCTTCTCAGGCGGTATTTATTTCTGCTCTCTGACCCCTACCAGAATAGAGATAATGCATCGATGAGACTGTAACTTTTGATTTTTGCAAGAAAGCACAATGCTCAGATAGGGAAGCTCATAACTACGCGAAATCAGCAGTCCTTTGCCTACCAAGATAGGTCTGGAGCTAAATTCTGCCTGGAGTCTAACTTACCACTAGGCTCGAATGTAATAGAATGCTGCTTCAAAAACCGAAAACCGAAAATTCCTGCACCCGCTCACGATATTCAGTATAGCGTATAGTGGGCGAGCTCTGACACTGTTCCTAGGGCAGAATGCAGCTTATGTCCAGTCCCAGCACCTATATCAGCATGCTAAGCGCTGACCACCCTGTAGCCAAGGACGTGGGTGACTTGCAGTGAAGAACACAGCTTAGGAAATTCAAACAAAATAGAATTTCACCAAGGATGATCAATAAATACATCATTGAGCAGCTTTAATTGAGGAGGAGAGAGAAGTGCACATTGTTGTTATGTAAAGGAAATGAGTTGTGTACAACTCAAGACATGACTGATATTTAGGGAAGAAAACTAAGAAAACGCTTATTTGGGACTATATCACCCACAAACTTCCTGCAGAAAGCTCTATGATCGTTAAGTGGTCCTGACGCTATTTCCTCAAAATCTTCCAAACATAGAAGTGCCTTGAGAGAATGTGCCCCGAGCTATTCAAAATAGAACATTTCCATCTCTTTGGAACATATTTTGCAAAAGTTGGGGGGTTGGCAAGAAATGGAACCCGTGTCGAAGCCGCCGGGTACTAAGACCTGGAGAGTGAGGAGAGATGGACGAAACTCTCGCTTTCTACAAAAACTTTTCCTCCAAGACAGGGAGTTTTTTGAGCAGTCAAGTTTTGCGAAACTTTTTGGCAATAAAGGTCAGTTGGGCTAAAGCGACCGCCAACGCGTGCGTGACAACAAAGAACGTTTTGAACGGAATCATAAATTTTTGATCTTAATTCCACCTACCATGCTCCTACAGCCCGAGCAGGGTTTCCTGAGCTATTTATTTACCATTCTGGCAGGAACGTTTCATGTTTTTAAGCCATGGGCATAGTCTTGTTTTCAGAAATGTCTATCTGGTGGCAGTTACATAAAAGCGCCATCCATCAAAAATCAAGAAAAACTGGTTAGTGACGAGGACGTGTGGAAACCGAATGCGAGCTGTCTCGCTTTCGTATAGGAGTCTCGGCATATGTGACGCAAAAAAATAAGACTTTCGTTAAATCGTAAAATCACGAATTTATAGTTGGAGGCTTTCTGCGTTTTAATCGAGTAAGAGCCTAGTGCTTAAAAAAGATCTGATCAACGCAACGGTGCTTGGCCGTAGTTGCGAGTGCTGCTAGCAAGTGCAAAATCATGGGCCCATAATTACTTGCGGATTAGTGCTCTGCCGTGTCGCCTTAAAAAGCTTTGTTTTGTCATCCATTGCTCTCTAATAATCTTGCCTTCACTGAATGGGGTCCAGAGAGATCCAGGTCGAGTAATTTTCCTTCATTGGCCAATTTAAGGTAAAATCAAAAGCCCTCAACTCCGTATTTGCTCACTGAGAGCTTTCCAAATTCGAGGGTTTGTGGTTCGCAAGCATTGCACTGCAAATACGTCACTGGTAGTAGCAGCAAGACTGTACAATTCTAACTATACAGTAGCATACTCAAATGGTCTCTGCTGATGTTTTCATGGCATCACTCGTGCGGAGACGATCAGGTTTGCTTCACTGGTCGCAAAAGTTACAACGTCGACCATCAGCGCCAACGAATAGCACATTGCGCACTAACGCCAAACTTGACACCGACCGACAATAGTTCATTGGTTCCAAGTTTTACCTTCCTTCGTGATCATGTACTCCGGTGCACATGCTGCTATTTTTCTGACGTTTACTATCGTTTGTGTGATCGATGCGGCCAAATTTGTTGAACAGGTTTGTTTCACGCTTACTTTGACTCCTTCATACTCATATCTATCCCTGTTCGTTTAAGGAATTAGATGAATGATTCCAAAGGGTCAAAACTTGGCAAGGATGCACGTTACGTTGGGATG